TATTACATCTTGCTATTTTCCCATTCTATATAAGGAAGTGTGTGGGGGGGGGATATATCGACCGGCGAATATGGATAGCCAGAGCAGAAGAGGCCACCGATAACTACTTTCCCGAACTGCTGTGTCTAAGCAGAGATGAATATGAAGAATAAGCTGTTTGCGTTGAAATCGATTTTCATATCCATGTTCACCAGTGGTCACAAGTCATGAGCCATGAAACTGTGATCAAGGCTACAGAGGGAAATGTCTGTGATTTCTTCGACGAATCGATGGGGTCGTAAGTCTTCATAGAGTTCAAATATCTAAGTAAGCCTTGATTTCCAGCCCCGAAGTCACAAATGCGAGGTTTTGGCGCCGTTTTGAAAATTCTTCCACAAGGAAGTCAAAACGGCTACTACATTCTCAAGCCATCAGCTGAGGACCCCATGAACGGCCAACAATAATCCGAGAGAAGTGCTTCGACGAACTTTGTTACAGATTCCGGTTTTCTCATGTCGCAATACTGGCGCAAATCGGAAACTTTGAATCAGAATTAGAATCACTGTCTAACGATGTTGCGTCCGCGACCCGAAAGGATAAGCTGCAAGCGAAACTGACTGACTAAATTTTCTAAAATCACCTTTTCATACTGTTTAATGCGCTTTCAGTCTCTGGATCGTTTTCACCCTTAAGTTCATGTTACCATCTGTACGTAGTATTGGAAATATGCATTGATCGAAAGGTTTCCGTTTCAAAAATAATAAACAAATTAATATTATATTGTTTCCAGCTAGGAGACAGATGACATGTAGGTAATCAATTTCTCTTTTGGAATAACTTCTGACAGTAGCCCGCAATTCTCTGACATGGAGCGACATGAAGAAAGTGTTCGACTGGTCCAACCATTCAAAAGATTTATCCTTAACCTGGGCAAGTGTGTCTTGAATTCTCTAAATATATTTCATCAGTCCTTCAAGAGAAGAAACCAATACAATTTCAAAGCCGATTATGCGGGTCAAAATGAGAATTGCCTTGGTGTGGTACTCAGTGAAAGACTATGGTTTGATATCATGGTTAATATTTTCATATACACTGACGATTTTCAAGGTGCTGTATAATGCCAGTTATTAATTATGCTTTTCCAAAATATTCTGAAGCCATAACAGGTGGTTTTACGCATGATTAGGACAATCGCAAAATCTAGATGATTTCGAACGCTCTCCTGACTATGACCATGATGTAGACTGTTTATGACAGTTCCATTTCCTTGGCTGAACGGGTATTGCATATCATCCACTCACTTCAAACAGATTTAACAGCCTGCTACTCACAGAAGACCGCTACACCAGGAAAATTCTTCATCCACAAAACAAGAACTATACTACACAGAAAATCAGCAGCAGCGCACTTAATTTTATACCATTTATACCATGAATTCTTCTGCCTCCTAGAGGTATGACACAATAATCATGTTGATATTTTGTGCTTCATATATGGGGATGCTGAAACAATAATCTACTTACATTACATTAATAAAATGCTGAATTTAAGTATTCTTTAAAAGTCAAAAGTAAATAAATACTTATATTGCATAAGAAAATGAATTAATTCCAAAAATATCCTAACTTAGATAAACCGTACCTCCATTACACCTGGCTTGATGTACGAAATCATTTACCACCGGAATAAGCTTGACCATGTCCTCGTTGTGAGTGTCCGACACCTTGATGACCAGCTGAGGCCGCTGCGTCGAGAACTTTCGGGCACCATCGTGTACGCTTACTATGTGAGTTATCTAAAAGCGAAATGATCAGTCAAACAATAGCCGATATTCATCGCCAAAAAAGCACAATTAAAGCACAGAAGTTAAACCTCGTATTTTTCAAGCTTCGATTCGCAAAGGGCATCAAACAAACTGCCGACGTACAATCCCGGTAAAATCTGGTTCATTTCGGTTGAAATTCATCGAAAATTCGCTAGTAATCCCACCACTGAGTTTGCAACTTCTCTAAACCTACCATACATTATGCCGCTAGTAAGTTAATCAACCCACATCAATAATGCCGATGCTTCAAAGCTTACAGTTAAAGCTAAGTAGGTACATTAGAGAAAAATTAGAGGACCACATTTATACTGGGGGGGGTTAAAATGTTTGTGGATTCTATCCAATTATTTCTGTCGAATTTAGTACTTTTTTCCAAGATAGCACAATTTAGGCGTTTATCTTTTAAAGTCTTTAGCACAGTAGCATAAAACGAAAACGTGGCAAAAATTAAACAAAAAATTATGGGAAAACGACATAAATCGCCGATGTACTCAAAAAATTGAATGATGAAACTAAAGTAAAATTTTAATAGGAACTGAACTATAAAATGGTTGTAACACCTGCATTATTTTCGTTTCGCTGAGTTGCCTTCACCAATGATTTTGCTGTTTTTTGCAAGAAT